AATTTAATTTCTTAATCACTTAAACCTGAAAAGAGGAAAATTCTTGCGGCATTAAAAATTTACGAGATAATTTTGAAACATGTAATTAATAATAAGATTACGTATAATTATTATCGTATATCGGAGAATTAAAATTCAGTAAAGATTATAGGTAATTGATGCGCAGTGATTGATCTATATTTCCTTCTATTCCGAATTAAAATGTATATACGTGAGATCTGGAGTCGTTGCGAATATGTACGATAAACATCGAATAAAGAGAGAGAGAGAAAGAGAGAGACGGAAAAAAAATGATAGGTACTCTATGGGTACGTATTTTGCTCGAGACTGCGATTTCCACGAATTTCTCTCGTGTCGGCCCGATGCAAATACATGTATATAATATAAGGAGGGACATATATATATATCTTTCTCTCTCTCTTTGCGCGAGCTAATAATACAGCCAGCCGATATATAACCAGCGAGCGAGCGAGCGTGTTGCTCGGCGTGTGCGGGTCCAGTGCAGAGATCCGCCCACGTATCGCCGTTTGGTTTTATCTTAAATCTCGAGATGATTTTAGTATCCCGCCGATTCTGCGCCTAATCGCACGCGCGCAAGATACATTAGCATCTCTCTCTCGGTGAAGACGCGAGCGATTATCGGATCTCTATTATCGGTAAAAGAGAATTATTTCTCGAGTAAAACGAACCGCGCGCGAGCCGTGATTTTATACAATAAACGGAATCGTGAATTTCGATGACGATTTCACGGCGACGATTTTTTTGCGACAGTTGTAAGGAATACATTTAGAAGAAGGAGTCATTCATTTTCAAGGAAAAATTGTCTCGTGTGAAATTCTCCTTTGTTAAGTACATCGCGCGACTCTTTACAAGTGTTAAAAGCACGGGCATTTAGTGGGAAATTGCAATCGATTGATTTCCGTGATCTCGCGAGTGCGCCATTACGGAGAATTCTGAGGGGAACGCCCCTGCAACATCCAACGCAGGGGTACCGGCCATTTACCTGAACGACGGCTACGTCGACAGGTAAAGATCGTTCTGTTAAAGGAAAGATGGATCCTCTTGCCTCGATTAATTCTTTTCACGTTCCTGCTGTCGGCTACCTCGTCGCGTGTGGATGCTTCGAAAAGATTTCATCTCGATTTATCACGACTGCGTCAGCTGCTGTTTGCCGCTTTGTAGATATTCCAGGCATAGAGATATTCAATCTATTGTCAGTGAATGAAAAATCTGCCTTGGCGCCGGATGTAGACATCTTTTCTTACTTGAGCAAGAAACGTAAGACGGAGTAATTATGAAAAAGAGAGAAAAATACGATGAAAAAGTTGATGATAAAAAGAGAGAGAGAGAGAGGTGTAATCTAATTATTACACACTTTACGATTATTAATTAAATAAATTAATTATATTCCTTTTCGAATTCATTAGATGAACGTTAATATTTCGATACAAATTCTTACTCTAACAATTTATATCTAGTTTTTACGCGAAGAAACTTGAAATATGAATATTTCAGAATATTATTTAGAATATGTAATAATTCTGAATCTTAATAATCATATATAACGATAATTTTGAATATTTTGTAATATTAAAAATTCACGTGGTATACGCATATTTGTCAATGAGTCTAATATTGGTGAAATTTATGTCCACTGAATATTCTCGTTATACCCATCTCCCATGGATATCTTCGTGCCAGGATAACGGAGGGCGCTTTCGCGTGCCAGCGACGATATTTAAATATCCTCGCGATACCCGCGCATCGGTTTCTCCTTGTTATTCCCGACTTGGCATCAGACACGCCGACGTTATTCCAACGGGCTGCTCGCAATTTATTTGGCCGATCATTCTCGTTAATTATGCAGTTATGCGCCGCACGACGGTCGAACGAGCCACGCGGTCTATCGCGGTTGAAACGTCGAACGAGAGATTCGCAGCCTTAAAAATCTTTAACTGTGACCAAAGTGAGCGAAGCTCCAAGCTAGCTAGCGAGTAGATTGTAGAGAGAGAAAAATGCAGGGGTGCCGTTGTAAAATATATCGTAGACCACTTTACGACGCAGTCGTGTCTCCTCGCAGTTGCTGCGTTTAATGTTTTGCGAATCGCATGCCCGCTTACTTATGCACCTATACAAACGCGACGCGGAGTTTGCGAGATGATCGTGCGTCGCCAATTTGGCTCTCGAGGCTTCTTCCTTCGCAATTAAGGTCGAACGGAGTAATTGACCGACAATGGAACGGACCCGTGGGACCGCGGCAATTTTTAAGGAATAAAATTGACAACTGTTATAAAAGCGTCAGAGTGTAATAAGCATTCTATGCGTTTAATTGTCATTATAATGTCGTTAGAAAGTCGATTTTTTATTTCAATTGCGATTGTTAAACGTGAAAAACCATTTGTCGCGCGGTTGACTTCCTTCCTGAAGATGTTAAAGAACAGGAAAGCAGCAATTTTCGAATTCTGACATAATTCAACTTGACTATAATTAGATGTACCGAGGTCGATTGGAATTGTTACGCGTTTGTCCGCGCCGAGAAAGAACTCCTGGATATATATTAAATTTTTTATATAATAATACAACCATGTGTGAATTATACGATCTCTTAAAAAATTCAAGTAATTTTATATTTATTTAGTAAAATAATGAAAGCAATAATAAACGGTATTTATTTTTTTAACGTTTTTTTTTTCTCGCAGATCCCCTTCAATTACGCGACATTCCGTACGCCATATATGATGATTTAATTTGTATATAAAGTGTATGCGAAACTTGTATCGGTTTGATTAATGACCAAAAGGCCAAACTCGATCGCTTTATAGCGAATATTAAGAGAATGTCGAGTGAGATTGCTCTCTTGGCCTAATTTGTTAATAAGCTCGTGCGTGTAATTGAGCCGCGTCACGGTAAGATAATCCATTCGTGTGAAAGTTATCGTCGTGACTCTCGATAACGTAATTAGAGAGAGAGCCATTGAGAATCGATATATCGATTTTAACGATGATAGATTTTCACTTTGATTTCCCGGCGCAGACATTATGATTATTATCGATGTGTAGTGTGCATTTACGATTTCAATCTGATTTGAGACGCGGTCGTGATAACTTGACTGCCTCGATTGATCTCAATTCTCTTTAAATCAAGGAATACTCATCGATAAAGCACAGTTTTTACAACATTGAGAGATTAGTAGGGATTAGTGAAACCCGAATGCGATTATTTTATCAGCTTTAATTGTTAGATATTTTTAATCGACAATTTTTCTTCACCTTGCAATTATTTAACGTCGGTAGTTGGAATCAATAGGATCGGTTAACATGTACAAAATTCACAAGCATTCTAATACGTAACGCGTTACGTATGACTCTGAGAATTATTCTCATATCGTATAGTAAATATTTGCCGAATGAGCGATATAAATACGTTTGTATTCTTATTTCGCGGTAAAGTCTCGGCGGAGAAATTTGCTATTGTAAACGTGCGATAGCGGAAGTTTACGCGTGTACTGCAAATGGCACATGTGTGTTGTGCGTCGCGAGCACGCATTGTCTGGTCAGCTGGTCATTATCATATGAGAATGTGACGGTTTACTTACCATGAGAAAATGGCATCGCCGGCGTAATCGCGACTCGCATACGCGATTCAGACGCGCGGTTATCGTCGTTGAAGCTATACATACGTGCGTAGAAAGAAAAGCCTCAGGTTTGATTACCCGAAGCCATCGAGAGATGGCCGCGTTCGCTTAACAATAATGATGAGACGCGGAATAAAATATAATGGGAGCGCGTTGATGTAGGTGAAACGTGAATCGCGCCGCAAATACATTCTTCCGCAAATGATTCGCATAAATAATTTTATTTAATTGTATTATAAATAAGCGTGCCGTAATTAAGATGAGCTAATTGACGACAATGTCGGTCAATGTTAATAGCTACCACAAGATGATATGATACAAAAAAGGTCAAAGTGGCTTTACCGTACGGTAAATATATAAGATGTTTCTAAAACATACATCTTATTTTTTTAACGATACGTTTCTCGACTTAATATTATGGCAATTTCACTCGGAATGTGTTTCGAGGCACGAATTGTTTTTGATCGTGAAATGATTAAAGATAAAAAATTGTAATCAGCATTTTATGCTTCCCAAGTTGAGCGAATGTTTCGATGATACACATTTGTCGATCACAATTGGTAACTAACGTTAATTAATGAACTAGATAGTCTATCACGAGTTGCCGAATAAATCGATCAATGTTTTACGTATCTTGATATCAAAGATTAAAATTGACAATTGTACATCAACTATCAAACTGCATCAAAATTCTACTTCTTGTTTAATCGGATATTTGTTTTGTACCTTAAACTAAACTTAGTATTTTTCTTCCAACTTGAGATAAGAGAAGCACATTGTGTTGTTATCGCATTAAGATAAAAACATCATGATTCATTCAAACATTTTAAGGATTTACTTGCAGGGATTGAACATCATTGAACTATGTAGATTTTTCAAACTACTAAACTACTTTCAAAACTTGTTAAATTATTAAAATTAAATATTTTATGATTTATGCTGATTTATAATAGCAAGTTAGAAAAAAGTTTCATGTGCTACATATAGATAAGATTTTTAATCAATGTTTTAAAAAATCGGTTAATAAACGATTCAACTACATATGTACATGTAAATATTTAATGCTCTCGATATATATTAATACATCAGATATATTATTTTCTTGGACTTTTTATTAATATCTATTTTTTTCGATGACAGTTGATAAAAATCGATTGACTTGTATAAACAATTATACTTGAAACATACAAAATATGTATTTCGATATAATATTTAATCTATCGCGACTTGAAATTTTCTTGACATTTAAATCATTTCGTGATTACGAAATAAATGTAGTCCTGCATCAGTTACAATTATTACATAACTTTGAATGCGGTTAAATTACCATTTGATTATTAAAGTATTTTTTTTGTTATGTTTGCAGTCTGAGCGAATGTTATTTCGCGGGCAAAGGCGCTGCCTTGGTTTTACCGCCAAACGAAAGGGCTCGTCCTTCGAGGCGAGTCTCGGCGGCAGGATGCGATATCCAGCAGCATCTACAATCCATGTTTTACTTATTGAGGCCCGAGGAGACTTTGAAGATGGTAAGTAAAATAATTTCTCCACTTAATAACAAACGAAGAAGAATCTTTTTAATTAATAAAACGCATAATTTACGCATAATTTTCGCGGTATAAATGTTAAACATTTATTAATTTTAAAATCCCTTTGCGCGATTGCACAGCGATCGATTCGTCTAAACGCGGCGCCGGAAACGATTGATCCTACATGTATGTTTTATGTAACGTGGAATATATTTCTAAGGAAAGGAGAACGAATGCGTGACTCGAAGCGCGAATTTATTTAGGCGGACACTAAAAATATTTTTGTTTCCGGGAATTGGCAATTGTAAATTGGCAACGATTTCGATGATTACGTAGCAGGGCGATTCTCGTATCTCACGGAGTCACGGAGTTTCTGCCGTTCGAAGCAGCTCGATTGCGCGATTCACGGGTAGGATTGCGGGACAATCTCGCAGTCGCGGAGTCACGTTTCGGCGCGGTTTCTTTGCGGACGGAAACCGTGCGGTCCTAATTTGCGCGTTCGAGAAATTGGCAGCTCGTTGCCTTCGCTCGCCCTCGACTCGACTCCGAGAATATACCCCGAGAATTACAGCGGCTTTACTATTCCGTTCGACCGAGAAACTCGTTGGGGAAGCGTGTAAACGTACGACAAGCAAATATACTCTACCTGCCGTTGCGCAGTTTTAACAAAGAGGCAATTGCTTATCTCGAAAAAAGAAAACGTGCTCCGACACACAATTCGTGATTCCGCGATTCGACTCTTTGTGTCGCTATCGCGTACAAACATAAATTATCATGTACAACAATTGAGGTGCCGAGAACGGAAATTAAATAACTGTAATTTCGTGACGACTAGAATTCTGTTTATAATTTTATCCATATTTGTGTCTGTATCTCTAAATATTTTCTATAAGTTGTAAAATTATAAATAGAATTTTCTATCGTAAGCTCATCTTAATTAGATTTAAGATATTTCAATTTATATTATTATTATTATTATTAATTAAAATGCTTATAAAATATTCTCAATGGATATAACTGGGATTGAAAATTGTGAGCTCTCTAGTTGTTTATTTTCAGAAAACATAATTTTTGTCTCACGTCATTTTTCTCATATCGACTAACAAGTTTCTTAACGCACAGAAAGTATGAATTCACATTGTGACTTGTATCGATTTAAAAGGCATAAATTATTGGATTTTTCAAAGAGAGAGAAACTTGGCATGAATTTTAACAGCCGGAAATGACCAATTCTTAAAAAGAACAATCCTTATATGACATGTAAGGATTGTTGACATCCTTTATCCGTGTTGATCAAAGTGTACATTGTGGCTATGACGCGTGTGCCATGTAATTAATGCGCTTTTCTCCGTGCGTTTGGCAATTAACAGGTCACGAAACTTGTTTCCCCAAGACAGGGACTTGATTCTCTTTGCTGCACGGAAGCGATTCCGCCGTTATTTTTCTTCGTATAAGGAAGTTGCGCGCAGTCTATAATAATATTTCCGTCGGAGATTCTTAAATAATATACTTTCGCAGAAACAGCGGGTCTTTACAATGCGTTCTCACGTAAAGTATGAGATGTTCGTGCAAGTCTTCCTTGATTTAACAAAAGCTTCGAGATTTAAATAGTTGGCGATATATTTAATTTTAAATAATTAAAATAAACGGCCCCGTTTTCGATATTTTTTCAAGTTTAAGCAACTCTAAATTAGTCAAAAGTTTATAGTGGATCAAAGTATTTTAAATGATAATCCAAAATAAGCTCGTATATAAAGACTTGCTGTTATTGCTCTGTTACATGGATGCTGTCAATCTATTCTTTTTATCGTCCGCGTTTTTACTTTGAAAATTAATTATTACAGATATAGATAATAACTATCAAATACTATTTATATTCGGAGGGACATCTTTTACGCGCGCGTGTCGCGTATCTTATGAATAATTCGCCGATGTAATTGGTGAATATCTTATATCGATTCGATTCGATTCGATTCGACTCGACTCGACTCAAAGTCGTGGGCTCGATAAGAGACGAGAAAGAGAAAAAGAGAAAGAGAGAGACGCGGCCGCTCCGTATCGTCTGCCGCGCTCGATCGCTCGTCGGAATTTTCCACGTGGGACCATTTCGACGATCCGCGATGTCGCGGTTGCCGGGGCTGTGCCGCGAAGTGGGCTAAGCGCGACCCACATGCGCGGGTCGTCGCCGTCGCCATCGGAGCGAAGGCGACGCATTTGAGGTCGCGGCCGATGAGCAACGGGCGCTTCCGGTCGGCGCGCGAATAAAGAAAGGCGGCGATAATCGCGGTGACAGGCTTTTGCCGTTACCGATACCGAGCAAATCGATCGCGGAAAAGACACAAGATGATCGATTTCTTTCCACAAATGAATTAGAAAGCTACAATTTATTTTTTCACATCGAGTTTGGTCATTCCAGGTGGATTCTTGGAAAGAATCGAATAAAAATAAAATTTTTTTTTGGACACGTTATATAAATTATTTAATGCTTTTATGCTGCTCGATTATAGTGAATTACGCGTATTTAAAAGCGCGTGAATTAAATTAATGAAATGAGTAAATGTAAAAAATATTAACTCGATTGTATAAAATAAGTATGAGAAACTTTTTTATGCAAACACTTTTTATACAAACACTTTTTTGCGCTCAAAGATTGTAATATCATTTACATCTCTATTAACTTGATTTATCGTCTCTCGCATAATCTACATACATTTAATATCTGCCCGTACACAAGACGAAACCTTTCGAATACTCTCACCAGATTCGCACTCGAGATATAACATGATTCATCTCGCACGATCATCCAATTTGGGCGAAAGTAGACAACAACTGTACTTCTTTTATCGTTCAAGCCTGAATGATGGTGCTTTTTGCTGGAACATTGTTTGCGCGATTTTCTTTCGCTCTTCATGCGATACATTCGAGACGATCAATCGCCATAATAAAATTTGTCTTTACCTTTGACACGAGCTCGGCAGCTTCTGGATCGGGGACAAGTCTAACTCTAGAAAAAGTAAGCCGTTGGAAGAGAACCCTGACCCGGTTCGGAACGACTCGCTCTCCTTTAGCGCGAGAGGAGAGAAGGGGAGAGAGACACTCGTGTTATCACGTTTGCGGTGTCTTCTCTGGCGGATTTTGATTCTTGATTCTCGAGGTCAAGGGTGAATAAAGATTCGTTTTCCTCGAGCGATCTTGACGGCGAAAGATGGTCGAATTAGATTCTCCTTGTTGGAATCGATTAACAGTAAAAGAAAATCGCATCGCAGGTGAGAGCGATCGAAGGTAATCGGCATTCTCTGCATTTTAATCGCGCGACTCACAATTTCGGTTAGCGTATCAGGTGTCGAATCGAGAAACTATCGAGATTTCTACTCGATTCTAAATTAATGGCGCGATTAAAACGAACATTTTATCTTGGCTGTGAGCAATATTAAGAAAGAGGAAGCGTATGTAGGGTCTTTAATATTTAATGAGTTTTTTGACGCGATGATTAACGCATCGTTCCAAGTAGTCGTGTCGTCCCCTTTTATTAGATTTCTTTGGTAAATTGGAAAGACTGTACGCGACATAAAATTTCAAAGAGCTACGATAAAAGTTTGCGGACAGTTTTAATAAATATATACGAGTAGTACCATACATGCTATATAAAAACGTAACAATGTTGCGACGTGCAGAAACGATTCGGATTAACTTTACGCGATCTTCCAAAAGTAACCTCGATTTACACACGGGGAACATTCATTTTCCTTGGCGATAAAAAGAAGTAATTGCGAAGAGCAGCTAAAGTCACTCGGTCGTATTCGCGCGCGAACGGTGGAGGCGGATAAAAGCAATAAAATCGCAAGCTCATGATTCTGACCTTTGTGACGCCGGTATAAATCGCATTACAAGATAGGAGCGCACGCAGGGGGGGGGGAGAACGCGTATAAGACTCGGACCGCATTGTGCGATCTCGCTCGTCGGTAGTCGAGCAATTCGCTGGGTTCATCCTCCTTTGGTCGAGCGACGAGAAAATGAAGGAAACAGGCTGGTCGGCGGGCCAATTTCACGAGAGCGACATAATGCATCGCTCTTGTCGCGCTTCCTCTCGTTCTCTCCGTCTGTTGCTCGTTTCGTTTCTCGATCATTCGTCAATCTAGAGCAATGTCCGATGTCCGAATGCACATTCCGCGTAGGATGCGTGATACGTCTATTGAAGAAATAAGTGTCGATGAGAAGAGCGAGAAGAGCTAAATGAAAGCTACATTATTGCTAGATTTGAAGAATCTGTTTTATACTGTTTTAGACATCTTATTGATTTTTTTCAAAATAATAGCACTATAAAGTCGAGGAATAAAACAAAATTGAGGCATATAAAAGAAACAAATTTTTTTTATGTACAGTATTATTTGTGCCGCGCGAGAAATAAATATCGAGATAATTGCGGTCCCAATAATTTAGAGATGAGGGATTACAATGAACAATTTTGTTAAATACAATATTCATTGTCAACTAAATTTGTATACGTATTTATTTCATATGTACATTTCGCGTTAAATTATATTTCGTTAAATTGGCCTGTTTTTAATCGATGGTCATTTAAGAAAAAGATAAGTTGCGCGAGCATCGGATACGTGCATGTCGATTATATTACGTGTTGCAGTAATGTGCGTTCCCTGCGCTGCGATGCAAAAAATATTGCCGTAATGATAAATCTCTCGTTTATTATATCGTTAACGTAATTTTAGATCGTTAGGAATATGCGAATGACGAAAAATGGAATCGCGCGATGTGAAACGAGCGATGAATCCGATGAATAAGAGAGGAGCCACGCGCGATTGGCTGTACGTTTGCGTAACCGGTTCAACATTTTTCTCTCGTCGGGATGTAAATCTTGCGGTTAATAATCCAACCGATCGCAGTATTCTCGTAATCTCGAATGTTGCTGCTCAACGTTTGAAGAGACTACGAAGAAACGGTCAATAAGACGCGAAATATATGGGATAACGTGTTAATTACGT